AAGTGATTTGATATTTTTTCCGCTGTTAATTTCATTTATTTCATTGTCGTTTTTGTTTGTTTTTTTGTTTTGTTGTGCTTTTTACTATTTTTAATGCGTATTATGCTTATATGTTAGTTGTATACTGTTCTTACCTTTGCCTGTGAGCTTTGGTGATATTCGTTATTTATATTTCCGTGTTTTTATCCTGTTCAGGACCATGATGTAAAACAGATTTTGTATCTACAATGTATATCTGATTCTTGATATCCTGATTAAATATATTTCAATAAAAAAAAATAGCTGGTTATGATTTTTGTTTCCTTCTCAAAAAACTTTGGTAGCCAAAAACCACACCAAAGACCTAGAGATTTGTTGCTGTTGCTTGGCACAAAATTTCCTCTTGTGCCCGATCAAACGTGAATTAAATGTGTTAAGCGCACGCGCGCGTGTGTGTGTGTTGTGTGTGTATGTATGGGGGGGGGGGGGGGCATTTTCCAATTCGGCCCCTCTTATCTACGTCAATGGCAAACGCCCCGCTATAATGATCGATTGACGCTCGCATCAATCTAGCAGAACTGTGTTAATAGAGCCATTATAAGAACATTATTGCAGCAATTGTGATTGGAAATGGTGAAAAGAGAAAGATAGAGAAGGGATGTGAAAAACTTAAGCAGAAGGAAAGCCACATCTGTTCCATTACAAACTACCATCTTACATCCAGCGTTAGAGTATTCAGCGTGTTTTATTCTGAACACGGTCGTTAAAGACTTTTCCGAAATCAACTCAATGGGAATTTCACTACCCTTTTGTAGTTCCCATCGAATATATGTTCGGGTTATGTAATGTGTCTTGGCTAAGATTACATGGCACACAAGGATATTGAAATTGCCCTATATAGGTTATTTTTGAAAGTATTTGTAATCTTTTAAAAAATATGATTATGACTATTTTTGTTTTCATACATAACGGTGTGTTTTTTAGTGCGATCTATCGAGCATATCATCGTATCATGTAAAATGCATGATGGACGAAAACATTTGCCTCATTTTTTTTATTTAGGGGCTTTATTCCCTTCGTGACCACGGTGAACTTCCGTCGAATCAACTATCCCAAATTATTTGTACATTATTTTCATGTTTTGAGACATCCTGTTTATAATATTGATTTCATACCAAGCTATGATTTATTGTCTACTTTATAACATTTATGTTCGCGGATGCGCTACATTCTCACATTTCAGTGGTTAGTAATAATATACCCCAGTAATTAAATATGGAATGCTTGGTCAAGAGAAAGTTAGAAGGTTAACAACACCATTAAACAATTTAATGATTTCTACCTGTGATGCTCCTGTTTCCGGATGCTAATGACTTCACATTATTTAAACATCTCAAACTTCACAAGACCAGGTTGACAACATTTACCCCCCCCCCCAACACATAAAATGTTAATTTCTTTAATTTCTACATTATACATGATCGCAAAGCTTTTCGAGAAATCTCTCGCGGCACCCCGGATAAAAAAAGGCTGTTCCAGTGTCCGACAAGGCATCTTGTCAGTCTGTTTAGCCGTCGGTCGACATGCCTGTGTCTTTGTCTGTCTACCCGTAGATCTATGACCGACGCAAACGGGCGCACCAAGACCTTTTTAAAAGGAGTGGTCATGGTAGGGGGTGTCATTATTTTATCAAGGTTGTCTATATACATGTATATATTATATATGAATAACAAAATTACCAAAAATATCACCAATCCCTCCCCTTCCCCTCCAAAGAAAACGATTAGCAAACACAAGGATATGAAAAGCACACATTTGCCGACAGCTTGAAGGGGAGGGGGAGGGGACGGGGGAGGGGATGGGGGGGGGGGGGGCTACACCCTTGTCCTCCTCTCGCTACGCTCTGAGTGTGAACAGGTGCCAGACGACGTCGCTGGGTTCGAGCTGAGAGGTCCGGAAACAAGGGGCTCCTACATGCCTGATCTATCCCGTCCTCTTGTGATGCGCATAAACCAGGGGCGTCGCTAGTGGGATATGGGGGTGTGACTCTCCCCCATCCTTCCATTAATACAAAATATACTGTCTGTAAATTTGAATGTTTGTAGCCTGCCGGCAAATCCTAACGAATGGAGAATTTTGTGTTCAATTAGAAATCTGATATTTTGTTAAACCATTCGGCAAATTTGAAAATATGATAATCTGATACTAAACAACTGTTTACGCTTATTGGCAATTTTTGTTGTTGTTTATTAAGATATTAAGAAATTTTCAGCTCACTCGTCCGAAAATGTTGATTCGTCATCCATATTAAAAACGTTTTAGAAACGCCCCTGGCGGCGTGCGATACGGTACATGCATTATCCGCCTCCGTGACTGGCCTAAGATTCAATCAATTAAGAGCACCTAATCCAGGGTAATGACAGCAACACATGTTTCACGAGCTATTAATCCTCATCATGACATGGAAAGGGGGTGGAGGATTCTGCTGGTTGTTTTCAAAGCATCATCCGTCAATTACAGATCATATATATCCAATACCACTATTTAAAGACAGCTATAGGATCCCAGCTTGGTCATAATGAAGGGAAAAACAATTCTGCAATAAAGTAATTTGCGAACAATTCTACTGATATTGATGACAGAATTCGCCTATCACAATGAGCAATTACTGCAATATTTATAATGGATACGTTGATTCATTGCAGACATTGCAATGGCCCACTCAATAATGATCCCCGGATGCTTGTTAAATATGACGCGGTAAACCACCGTAAATCCCCCCAGCCCCCCCCCCCGGCCTGGATAAGATGACACCAACAAAATAGACCCCAAAACACAGTAAAGACAATAGTAATGCCAGAGTTCAACCCATTGTGCAAATTGGATAGAGGGCTATAAATACATTTCTTACAAAAAATGTATGCCGTCGGAGATGTTGTTTTGATTCAGTTAGGAAGGATCAATCCCCAGAAATTATCTTTTCAGAGAACAAACATTTCTGCTATGTACCGGATGTATATCATCTTCATTCCTGTCACAAATCTACTTCAACCACTTGAGTTTGATCGTCAAAAAGATTTACATCTGTCACAAGAGAGTTCGACTGTTTCAAGTACTCCGTGAAGTTGACGGAGAGCGATAATGTTCAAAGATAATAGAAGTGATTTGTAGGAGTCTAGTGGGAGCTTGTGCCCCGTACCAAATAACAAGTTCAAAAGACTTAATGTCATGAACATGACAGTTCAGTTCCAGTAACTGTTTTTTTTAAAGACTGAGATGCAGTCTAAAGCCAAAAATATCCCAGCATTCAACGATATTTCGATTCGGAATGCCATTGCATTTATTTCCTTCTTTCCCTTTTTAATATAAAAGGAGTAATGCCTTACAGTTTTTGTGGAACTGAAACATCTCCTCTAAGATCTTTCCCCAATCTTTCTTTCTCTCTGTCTCTATTTCCTATTTCTTCTTCTTTTTCTTTTTCTTCTCCTTTTTCTTCTTCTTCTTTTTCTTCTTCTTCTTCTTCTTCTTCTTCTTCTTCTTCTTCTTCTTCTTCTTCTTCTTCTTCTTCTTCTTCTTCTTCTCCTCCTTCTCCCTCTTGCTCTTCTCCTTCTTATTCTTGAAAACTTCTTTTGTATGATACGTTCAGTTGCTCTTATTATTTTATGTAAACATGCTGCGGTTGTTGCTTATGTTTTACTTGACAATAGTCAGAAGAAGGAGAACATTTCTATATACTACACACGTATTGATAAGTGTTTGAGATCTACAGTTATTCATAAATGAATACGGAGATCATGTGGTTGGGAAAAGAATTAATGAAGAGACAAAATTGTACAGCTGGACAAGAGAGGGCAGTATTTCAGTTAGTGCCACAGCTAGTTGAAGTATAGATTTAATAACTATAAGACAGAGAGCAGACGCTTTACATCAGTATTAAACGAGGCAATTTTATTGGTAAAATCTTTGCACAAAAATGAAAATACAAGCAACATACATATTTACATAGTAGATGTTTCGCGAAAAAAAGAGGCACCTATGAATACAAATTCATTTTAAAAGAAAATATACAATTGCACATCACACCCGCCATTCCAAAATGGCTTATGACGCTTGTTAGCAAAACCCTTTTTTGAAATCACAGATAATGTATTTTGAATGAATAAAAGATAGAGACGGACTTCATAGCCTTGACTTTTCCAAAGCGATAACCAAAATAAAATGTCACAAATATCATTTTAAGAAAATTGTTTGAAAAATATTGAAAACTTTTAGTCCAAATAACCCCTGAATACATTTTACATTCTTTAACTTTAAAAAGTGGCGAATTTAATTGAAAGAGTTTCACATTTGAATTATTATCGACAAAAGGTGTTGAATTACTTTTTTACAGTAAAGATCATTTATAGAGCACAATGTTATTATGCTGCCAAGATAAAAACAAAACTTTTAAGAACAATTCTCTTATCAACTTTTGTTTTAAAATGGGAAGAAAGTAAAAGGCACTTTTATCAGCATGATTGAATTCATCTACGATTTGAAATTTACTGAATTATTATGAAATGTAAATGCTTTACGTAGAAAGTTCAATTTTACTGTATACATTTTTAAATTCAGTTAGTAAATACGCTGAAGATTTGAAAGACTGGTATAAATATAAATTCCGGATTGTGTTCATGCTGTCTATTATATAGGCCTGCTATCTCCCTTGTTATAGCAACATGAGCTCCGTTGATTACTTGTGGATGTCGAGCGGGGGGGGGGGGGGGGGGGTGGACCGGTCCATATTGTGTTAATGTTACCTTCTTTAGGGCACTTTTAAAAAAATGCGTTTTCCATTTTCCCCTTTTGGTTTTTTCAAACTTTCAAAATAACCATCATTATCACCCTGTTTGTGTTAGGATAAAAATGTATAAAGACATAAACGTTAAAAACAAGCCTATTAAAGTGCCAAAATGTGCATATTAATGAAAGCGAGCTTTAAAAACTATCTGGTTCTATGAGTATGATTATTATTATTATTATTGGGGGGGGGGGAGGGGGAGGTAATTGAAAATCTAAACATATTTTTGATTAAATTAAGTTTGATGAAAAGGACAAGCATTATGGCGGCACTACAAATAGAAATTAATGGATGGAATGTTTAAACTTAAATCGGCAACAGCTAACAAGTCTTCTTAGCCTGATAAGACGCATAGTTCAGGCTGTAGCTGTTACTATGCCGGGCAAAGCAAAGAGCGGCTGTACGGTCGCAGTGACAGAGAGCTGCGGCACATCGGGGCTGCTGGCCGGAGAGAATGCTATCAAAGAACGAGTATTGGTGATGGTTGGCTGCAAAACAGAATGAAATAAGCAATAAATTATGTTATAGATTTGGTAATCCATCATCAAAATCCATAATGACTATAAATTATGAGTCAAATGTACAACTGTACCCTTCAACAGCATTAGTATTCCTCTCCTTTTCCCGATATAATATATTTTGTTACAAATATTGATAATGATGATATAGACAGCTACTTATTAACTATATATCCATGAGGGGGGACCCGGGGGGATTTACAAGGCGCCTCCAATGTCATGTTTTAACTATGACACTGGCTTTCGCCCAGCTGCCTTTAGAAGCTGATAGCATTCAATCAATGCCATGGTGGGACTCGAACCTCAAACTCTGTGATCCACATTCCGGTGACGTATCATCTAGACCACGACACCTCAACAAAAAGTCAACACTAATATCCATCATGTTTAAGGGGTGCCCCAAACACTTTCAAAAGTGTGGAGGATGGGATTCGATGGGATTATAGTCCAGTCCATTAGACCATAAAAACTCTTTATCAATACCAACTATTCTTCGATTTCGTGGTCTCAAGCACGCATCTTTGCCAACTTACCACACCATATCTTAGCATTGGGGGTGTCACAATTGTTCATATTAGACTTGTAATAGGTGAAATAGACCGACTTGTCTCCTTTGCAGATACCCTGCTTCTTCAGCTGGCTGTAACACCGGTCATGCACCTGACAACATCTGTATAGAATCGAAGAAATGGTGAAATTACAATAGGATCAACATTCATTTGTTTAATTAGTGGGAACTAATTTCGAGGAAGATTTCAAATCGTTCCAAATGTGATTAAAGATACTATTGTAACAGTTTATGTTCCCACTGCAGTTGGTGGTGTTTTCACATTGGGATAAACCATAACGCCCCTTGCCTTGTAAATTATCATGCCGGCTTTAGCTTCGGCTGCTGTTAATATCAAGGAATTGTCTTGCCTAAGGTACCCCTTTCCCTCACTGTTGTTTATGTCTTGCCAAAGGACGACAGTGATGTAGCAGGGATTCGAACCCCATACCTGGTGGTACTCTATCCGATGACTTATCGAATAGACCACAGCATCTCTACATATTCATTATACCGAGAAACGAAGACAGATATGGCTATCGGGTTGGTCGGGACTGCGATTCACCACCTCGTCCCCAAAGTCTCGCGTGCAACTTTAGAGTGTTTCGGTATTTCACAAAAAAAAAAAAAAAGTGTAATTCAAGTGTCTTTTTTCGAATTGGATCTATTTAATTATCTATCAAATTATAACAATCTCGTTCATCAACGCGTTTAAAATAAAAATAAACTTACAGTCACTAAGTTGCACCACCTACGTGCAGGCCTTTTTAATAGTTTTAATAGTCATCTGAATAACAGTCTACTACCCAGTGTAGGCCTACACCATACAATGATCTCTCCTTCAAATGCCACCGTATGACGTTGTAATTGAGAACTTCATGAGGTCACACTCATTCAAGTGTTTTCATCGGTTTAAGTTTGACACACTGCCAGTGTTTCTCAGCCAAATTATGAATAATTTCCGAACGCGATGATTATAAAGGAACCACGAAATTTGTTTGGCACGTCAACAATGCTCCGCCCCCAATAATAAATTAGGTCGATATTAATTAGCAACCCATTTAATATTTCTTAGGCTGACACGCAATGGGTGCTACCACTCATCACAAATCTAAATTTTCGTTGAAATTAAATTAAAAGCAGAAAACAACATTTGGCACACGAATAGCGAGGAGAAGATGTGAATGTTTCAACTTTTAACCACGGTATTCGAATTGATGATAAGCGTTTAAATTGAGACAGAATTTACCTCAGAAACATTTCGATTAATTCAGTACAATTTCGTAAATGGGGTAAAATATATGCGCTTAAACTTGGTGAAATAGTTTACCAAAGATGTAGGTCATAACAGCGACAGTAATGTTTTTGTACTGTGAACCAGGTGGACTAGATACAGAACAGGGGGCACGGGGTCATTTCCCCCCCAATCGAGTAGTGAACAAGTATAAAGAAAAGTTAGTTAAAGGGGAGACGGAGAAAGCCCGAGAAACAAGATGACTGGACTACTTCTTGTACTCTGACCAGTATACCATTGACTTTCGCATCCAATTTTCCGAATAAGACTGGTGCCCCACCCCACCAATTATTCCAGGACCCCTCAACGGGACAACTCACACTACGCCATTGCTGTAAATGTGTTTTAACAGAAATCTGATAAATTCGGAACTGCGTGTATTTATTAACAAAGTTCAAGAAGTAGAAAGAGTGAGTGATGAAGAAAAAAAAATAATCCTCATCTATTTTCATTAAGTACCCAGAAAAATAATGTAAGGGAGTGGCTGATTAATTTAGCCAACTGGCATTTTGTCCAAATGCTTTAAATGATACTTATTCCTTCAGGCACTTTCCAGGTATATGTCATTCGACAGAGGTTAGCTAAAGTAGGTCAGGAATTAGTTGAATTATAAGAACGGAAACATAATCTTGTTTGATAATTTTCTTGTGGGCGTTGAATTCTGCGTGAACTGGAAATATGACTTGATATCCCCGCCACTTCAATTAAGCCATGTTCAGAAACATCAGTAGTGAATGTTAACTCATGTATTATATCGACCATGGCGTATCCATTTTAGGGCGGAGTCGGCGTACACCCTGCCCCTTTTCTTAGACCAACACACCCCTGTGTTTGTTATAGAAGCAGTGGATGCCCCAGAGTGAAGGAAATCAGCTTGTGCGTGGGGCATGCCCGCATAACCCTGTAGCGTTTTGTTTTTGTTTAACGCGCAGTGGCGTACCCAGGATTCTTTTGGCGGGAGGGGAACAATACTAAAAGAAAAATAGAGTTTTGTTTTCAGGTGTATTTCCTTTGGTGAGGGGGGGGGGGATTAAAATTGTGCCAGAGAATGGGGAACAAGAACACAATTAAGAAGGGCACATCGCTTGCATTAGTTTATACACGATTTTGGCCACCCCCCCCCCCCCCACGTTTCCATTTTGGATCCTCTAATAACGCCACTGAATCAAAGTGTGCGACCCACCTGTCGGTAGCATCAACGGGTTTGCCACTGCCTCCTAACCCGCAGTGGCAGCCGTAGCCATTGTAGGCGAGGGACCCCCTTCTCACTAAACATTCCACCATGCCTCCAAACTGGACCACCATCTCACTGGGGCCCATGGCTGCGCCGTTAGGGGCGGCTCCCCCGCCGACTGCCCCTCCCATTCCAGTTTCATGCGCCCCCATCATCTGCTCCTGATCTGTGAATTCAAAAGTAGAATTTCAAGAAAAATTAGTAAAATATGATGAACATTGCAAGTAAACCAATTTAATGCAACTAAGATATTTGAAATATACCTGTACGGACGCCTGCAACGATTCATAATTGACCATGATCGCATAGACATTCGAGAAATTATCTCTAGGACGATAGGGGGGTAGTGAGCACATTTTTTTGCTTTTTTTTTTGCTCCCGGAAATTTGAAAATCGCGCCGGCCGATAATTCACTCATTTGGGGAAGGGGGTGGGAGGGGCGGGGGAGGGGGGGGGGGGGGGTGGGGAGGTGGGTATTGAGCACTAATTTTTGTTTTGATTCTTGAAAATTTGAAAAAAATCGCACCCCCGCCCCCCCCCCCCTCCCCCTGGGTCCGCCACTGGCCCATGGGACCCCACATTACGTTTATACATGTAGTCTGGAAAGAGTATCCGTACCGACATATATCTTTTGTCACATGGAAGTGCTTCCTCTGGCAAGTCTGGAGCAGAGTTCAATGGTTAGGCCAATATCAAAGAGAAGCTGATTGGGGTTCATTTTTCTGTCACCTAATTATAGAATCGGAGACAAGGCTTTCTTTATGTATACTGTCTTGTCGTCCAATCGCAGTGTCCGTTATTATTTCAACCATGATACTATCTTATAAATACCTTTTTAATTGGATAACCTTATTATAACTTTTCAGAATCATGTAAACTATACAAACTGAGAATATTGAGAAGGGAACACACTACATTGATTCTTCTTATTTGGTCAAGCTCATTTTGTTGTCATATTTCAACATCGCGGTTCTCCGTGTCTTGTTTTTAAAAGATGATTGACCTTTGTGAATTTAGGATACTTCGCGGATGTGCTGGGTGTATCAAACGATGAGCGTGTTGATGGAGAAACTATACGATACAAAAAAGCATGACGAACATCGTCTTTGTAAATGCCATGGCAACAGGAAGCATAAGGAACGTCTCGAAGAATTTCGAGAGAGGGTTGAAAGACGTAGGAAAGTTGACGGAACATCCTGTCCACCTATTACGTCGGGCGGGGCTGAGCGTCATCTTCTCAAAAATAGCATGCTTGCTTATTTCAACGATCTGGGATTTTATTATTTCTAGCGATTGTTTGTGTTTTGATGATCAAGATTTTATGAATGAACTTGTTTCCTGCCCCCCTCTCTCTTTCTCTCTCCTCTCACCACCAATAACATGAACACAAAAGAAATGGGAGGAGCAAAAAGATTGAATGACTTTCTCATTTTTCAGTTAAAGGGTAAATCAGTGGCTGATAGATATTAATCTGTTTCGAGCCAGAAGGGTGTTAACTCATATAATTCAATACTGAGTTACGTCTCTCTGACTCCGAACAGACGTTATGGAAAATAAATGTTAGAGACATAAAACAAAGAATTAAAACGATCCAGGGAGGGGGGAGAGAGAGAGCGAGAGAGCTTAACTATCGTGCTTATATTCTTTTCTTTACTGGACGCTAACGGAAGATAATTTGATAAGACTATAGAAAACTATATATCATACGATGGTTCTTGGGCCACTCTGTCAGCACAGTTTACGTCAAAGCAAAACTATAAAAAGTCACTAAGATGGGATGATAATGGACCGAAACCCTGCTCTTGACATTTTAAGGTTAGTTCATAAATTAAAAAAGAGAACAAATTACCAATGATAGCATTCAACAAAGATAAAACCCAAACCGAGGAAACTTCCAATTACTATGAATAATACATATAAACAATTTTGTTAATTGAAGTCCATTTTTGTACTCTTCGGAAAATAAGTTCGCGACCCTCTGCGTCCTTTTTGGTCAGTGTTCCCCGTTGCTATGGTGACGCGGAAGTTGCCGAAGGACTTCCCTCCCCTGGAGCTTCCCTGTTTAGGCACACTTTAATTGACGAAATTTAGTCAACCGAAGGGGAACCTTTTGCAAATCTTATCTCCTGATTTTTCGAAGTGTAAATTTATACTTTTTTTTTAAAGCTGGAGGCAAGCCAAAAGATAGTTTGTTATCCTTCTCGACGAAAGAAGCAATTTCCGAGTTTAGATTTGTATTTTCGCAGTGCCTTAATTCTTAGTGAAAACATTTTTTAAATAGATTGTGGTTTGCCGCTCAATTTACACATTTTGCCAATCTGAAGATGTCAAAGTATTGTGTTATCATTTAAGCATTATGCAGGGGCGGCGATTTCTTTTCATGACCGGGGGGACAAAATGCGAGGAACTAGGGAGGAGTGACGTAATGAGCCAAAACGTTTTATTGGGGGAAGGGGAGAAAAAAATCCGCATCATCATCGCTCTTACATGTTACATGCAGGCCCCGCGGAACCGTTTTTCAAAGTTAGAGGGGGGGGGGGTGAAGTATTTGCGATCAGATAGAGCAATGCAATTAAGTTGGGTGTAACTTTGGCGTGGGGTCCAGGGGCGGAGCCCCATGAAGCTCAGAGTTTTTAGACTTTTAATAAGGGTCAGATGAGCATATTTTGATACCTTATTTGTGACACTTGCATGCAGGTCACTAATCGTACTGGGGTCCAGGGGGCGAAGTCCCCAGAGGCTCAGCGGATTTAGGCATTTAATTACGATCAGATGAGCATCCAGGGGCCGCCTTATAGGGCCCTTGGTGGGGTTTAGGGGGCGGAGCCCCAGTAAGCTCAGGGTTTTAGGCTTTTGAATATGGTCAGATGACCATCCAGAGGCCCGCTTAGGGCCCTGGTGGGGTCTAGGGGCGGAGACCCCGGAAGCTCAGGTGTTTTAGGAATTTAATTATGGTCAGCTGAGTAACCAGGGACAAGCCTTAGGGCCCTTAGTGGGGTACAGGGGGCCGAGCCCCCGGAAGCTTGGGGGAAAATCATGCCATTTCAGTAACCACGTTTGAATTTTATCGGGGGGGGGGGGGGGGACTGCCCAAAGCACAAGTGAGTGAGCATAGTGAACGAGAGGGGTCAAGGTAAATTATATTCCTTAGCAAAAGTATAGTATGAAAACTAACAAAATACCTGTTTCACACTTCATTTTTCTACAATATTAATTGTACATTTTGAAGGATATTATGCGAGGGAGCATAGCTTCCGAACCAGAAGATTTTTGCATTTTTATTTGTCAAAACGCTGCACTCTTGGGCCCTCCAAAGCCTAATAGTGTGTTGCAGTCTTTAGTCAGTATTTGCTGTACATTATTTTTGTGTACTTTTTCAAATTTTCCGGGGGGACGATCCCCCCTACAAAAATCGAGGGGGGACGTGTCTCCCCCGTCCCCCCCCCCCCCCGGGATCGCCGCCCCTGGCATTATGACTTTAGAGACCAATATGTCGTAGAGTTGAAGTAGTTGAGTGGTGTAATCGTTTGACTGGAAATATTAAAACATGGACTCACGGCCTGCTTTGAAACTCATAAAGTTTCCTATTTCATCATGCTTTTCTATTTTAGTTAAAAATTTTAGTTAAGTTAAAAGACGGTCTTAAAAAACTTTAAAAGACGGCCACAGGTTTGATTCAGAGACCGATTGATTGAATCAAAAAGTCGGTCTCAAAGGACCGACAGCCCACGAGACCGACAAAGTAAAGAAACATATATGGGATTAAGATGTCGGTCTCTTGTTCTATCGGTCTCTCGGGCTGTAAGCCATTGCATTGTGGATAAACTTATCTTACATCGCCTGGGTGGCAGAAGGGCGTTAGCACTAAATTGCCTCAAACTTTTATAAAACTGACTTTTTTTCCGAAACAAATTGTGGCCGTGTTCTCTTATAACATTCCTATTAGTCTTTTAAGTTTTAAACCAATTTATCGGACGAAAAACAGTTTAAATATAAAACTTATCCCTTAAATGCGAATAATTCGAAAAGTAGTTTTCGAGTCACTCGCGCGCTAACGCCTTTCTGCCACCCGGCCGACGTCAATGTTTTGACGTAGTTTATTTAACTTGCTTTTCATAGCTGAAATGCCAACCACATTGTCTTTTTGAGGGTTTTTTCGCCACCCATTGATTGTCTAAATGTCAACCCTGCTGTGTCATATAATCACATATTTCCTTTTCTCGTCATCCGAGTTTTGTTTGGCATCTATAAAAAGCATCTTATAAGAAGCTGACGGCTCAAAACGTCTAAGAAAAAAAAAATATTAACAGCGTGGACAACTCAGGTTATTAGATTCTCATAGTGCCCCTTAATACTGAGAAACAAATGAGTTGTTAGTGATAAAAGATTCGTTCTAAAATGGTAATGAAAGAAGTTGAATCCTAGATAAATACATTTTGAGATAAGTTGCTTGAAAAAATTGGTAGAGTTTTGAGCAGTAACATATATTCTTGATAGAATAAAGTGTTAGAAGCGATTTCTTTATTGTTTATTTATTCAATTTATTTATTATTTATTATTTACATAATCGTTTAATCATTCATTTATCATTTACATAATCGTTTGATCATTCATTTATCATTTACTATTCATATGTATTCAGTTAGTCATTTACTCATATTTCATATCCTTTTTTAGTGATTGCTTTCCGTAAACGAACATGATGATCCTCAAATCTTACCAATATAATAATCTTTTTTTTTTTAACAAAACAGTATTTTATCCGATGTTTGTTTTTATTGGTTTACCGTCCCAGACAATTCGAATTTATTTGCCATAGCTCTCAAAATGAATAAATACTATGATAGTGTACAGTTGTGTACCATTGGTTCAGCCGCATCGGGGGGGGGGGGGGCAACGACCGTAACAGATATTTTGTAATTCGCGTCATATTCTTCTAACATTCTCTTTTTCTGTGTCTTTCCTTCATTCTCTCTCTCTCTCTCTCTCTCATAACTTGTTAACGATTTTTTTTTTTCTGGGGGGCGGGGGGGGGGGGGGGGCAATGGGGCACGTACGAGTCTCCTAACTCAGGTGTCTGATACGCAAATTAAATAGTACACGGCTTATCACACGTGAAAGCGGTTTCCAGCCGAATCTAGGGTCGCTCGAAATACAATTTATCGCTATCTAAAATCTTGTTTTTTCCTTTCGATTCGATACATGCCCTCTCGTTTCCCTCCACACGCGAAAAACGTTTCTGCCCAATGACGTCCACGAGTCCATATCACCGTCTAAATGACTTCGAGGAAGTTTTCGAGAAACAGACCTTATCCATAACATCGCGATGAAAGATAGGGGTTACATGCAGTGACGTAGCTACAGGGGGCATAGGGGCAAGTACCCTCAATTAAAATGACATTCAAGAACGAAAAATGAGCGCGTGAAAGAGAGAGAAAGAGAGAGAAAGAGGGGGAAGCGAAGGATAAATAAAGAAAGAAAGCAAGCAAGAAAGAAAGAAAGTGATAGTTAGAGGAGATAATTAGATAGAGAAAGAAAAGAAAGAGAGTGTAAGAGAGAGGGGAAGAGATTGCAATGTCCCCTCCTCCATCGCACGGCAAAAAAGAAGAAAACAAAATACAAAAGAGAGGGAGTGGAGAGAGAGAAAGGAGAAAGAGAGAGGGGGCAGACACCGAGGTAAAATTGCAGAAGGACAACAACAACAGGAACGTGAGAAGGAGATGACATGGCACCCATAACAAACACCCTCCATTTTAGCCACCTATTAATGCAGAGCCCCCTTCCCCGGAATGGGCACACGCTACGCCATTTGTCAAATGCGTTCACGAAACTTTTCTCCAATCTTTGCAACCATGAACATCATATTGAGTTGACAAAAAAACATTTTCGATGATAGAACGCTTATTAGGTGAAGCTGTTGATTTGTTTCAAGGATTGGTTAGATCGAAGGTAATCAAGGGGGAAACATGGGGTATATGACCATGAACCAATGATTAGCTTCACTGATATAATATCGGGGGTTTAGTTTCCCAGTATATGGTCACGTGATATCTTCGATTTATACGTATGACATTTTCCTATTCAAGCATTATGTCAGACAAAATAAGGTTTAATTTAAATGTTAATGGTTGCAGTATATAGACAGATCCAGGATCTGGACATTAGTTCTTTAAAACAAAGTTGTTACTTGTTTAGGAGAGGGGTGCTATTTATTTCCAAAACTGCCTGATAAGAAAGAAAAGATAAAATCGAATATATCCAATGAATTATCAAATTATAAAATGTTTTTGTCCTCTAAATTTATCTGAGAAGAAGATTATAATTAAAAAAACGTATTGTGCCTTTTGGTGTTTATGATTGATGCCGGGGGCACATTTAAAGGGCTCTTTTTTTGGGGGGGGGGGGGGGTGGGGGTATTAAAGTAAATCAGATTTGATTTCGTTGGGGTGGGGGGGGGGGGGGAGGGGGGCTCGTAGGTCTAAAAAGGCCTATATTCATCTCTTTATAAATCTCACCTGTAAGAGCAGCTCCCTGTCCAGCGGACAGGTAAGGGTCGTTCACCCCGCTAGTCCCGGCCTCCGACTTCTGCATCATCACCACCACAGGTGTGACGACTGCTGCAACTGAAAGGTTGAATGAAAGCATGGAGACAAAGAATTCATTAACGAAAACTCGGAGGGCATGTGCCCCCTTCCGTCGAACGGGGTTAAGAAAAGAAAAAGAGACACAAAGAACGAGACGTCCAAGATATCAACACAAGGGTGTTCAGATTACGTAAAATGTCATTATCTCATGTTCCCACATTGCAAAAGGGAACGGACAAGGTTACTGAAATTGCCTTAAATCGACTTTCCGAAAGTCTTTCCGATCGTGTTGAAAGTAAAAGACAGACAATGAGAGAGGCAGAGCTAGGATTCGAACCCTCAACCCTTGAATTGAGAGTCAAGTGAACGAACCACTATTCTCCACGGAACCTAGCATTGATGGGGGTAATAGTATTTAATTACAAGGTACTCAGAAAGAGCAGAACAATATTCTGATGTGGCTTTTTTTTTAAACCCTGGGTATAAAATAAGTCCACATTAATACAAAAATTGAATTGAATTGCTCTCACCAAGGCAAAGATTATTCACATCTTTCACTAGTAGAGTTGAAATGGCAAGGACTTTTATAATTCAACGTCTTCCTTTCTTATTGGGGATACCTCGTAATATTTAGTAACCTACGCAATCATTTGCCTAATTGGGAATTAATTAATGAAGTTACTGATGATTATCGTGAAAACTTCCTGATGATATTGGCGATGAAAATCTACTAATAAATGGTGCAGGCATGCAGTGTGATGAAAGCGCTCGATCGATTAAGAGTGTCTTGATAATTTGATATAAATAAATCTCGCTCAAAATGTAATTAAATGTTATCAATGTTAGTGTTGACTGTCACCATAAGCCAATCATAGTCAGAGGCCGTAGTGGGGAATGTCTGATTACTCATATTTTTTAAAAACCAATATGAATGGAACCGGCGTCTCTATGTGTCGTAAATGATGGAAAATCGTTTTGAAAAATCAACACAAAAGATGCAATTACTTGACAGTTGCAGATTTTAAGGATATGTTTTTTTTAATCCATATTTAAAAAAGCTGAAGGAATTCGCATTGGATTTTGCACCCTTCGACATCTTTTTCTGTTCTTCTAAAAACCTGCCAATTTTTCCTCTCAAGAATGAAAGGGCATGACGTATGATCAGCCGCGTACGCAGGATTTTTTCAAGGGGGGGGGTTTAACATTTATAAATCGGGCCGAAAATTTCGCAAGGACTCAGCCAGCCGCTGAATAAGCGATAAGCGGGGGGGGGGGGGGGGGGGGGGGGGGGGGGGGGGTAAGAGGACACTTTTTTTTGTCTAAAAAATTTGACATTTTGCTCCGTTGGGGGGGGGGGTAAGGTCAGCTTTTTTAGGTCAGCCATGGGAAATGTTTTTTTCTTTTTTTTCTTTTTTTCTTTTTTGTAATAAATAAATTTAAAAAAATATATAAAAAAAAAAAATCCAAAGGGGGGGGGGGGGGGGTTTAGGGGGGTTATGGGGGGGGGGGGGGTTTACACACAGAAAAATACCAATTAACCCCATTACCCATTTGCAGTCCTGATAAGCTCCAAGACAACAATTTTAACACAAGTAAAGATTAATCTTTCATTAGAAACAGTTAAATCATCTTGAAGCCTTTGGTTTATCTAACCCATGGCAAAAATGTGCATGGCACATTATTAATTTTCTGTCGCATAATAGTCAAGGAGACATCTAGTCTCACCGATTGTTGGTTTGTTCATTGACTCTATTGCCTTCGAGGTTGCCCATTCAAATTTAATGAATTTATAAAATCGTTTCAAATAATAATATTTTCATGTACGTTGCATCTAAATTAGAGGTCTAAAAGTAACGTTAAAGTCAATCTTTCAATGAGCATTTTATTACAACAGTTTCCGTCTATCCTTCGTATAAGCAATGGTTAAAACAATGAGCAGTTTGGCAACAATCAGTAAATGTTGGAAAATCGTCAAGAAACTTTATGAATGGATTCTACGAAATAGTAAAATTGCACGTTGGGTAGGGGCGGCGAAGGCAAACACCTCGGCAAATTAATAAATATGAGTAATAAAAGCTGCTTGCTCAAAAAGAATGTATATTATAAAATCTAAAACAATGCATCTTGGGCTTCCGCTGTTTGGTTGTATGTAGGCCATTGAATGCTCTAAATGACTATTACTTCATTTCCGAGTGTGATAGGTTTGTTTTCTCCGCGGTTTTTACGTTACGGTTGCTTTGAAAATACATTATCGTTGATCTAAAAAAAACGAAAATGATAAAATATACTTTCATAAATACTTTCGAATTTTCCTTGCTGTATTCTTTGAAACAACAATATTTGTATCTAACTTTAAAATGTATACCCCACAATCTTGACAAACGGTAATAACACAAAGTTGATTTTAAAGACTTTAAAGTGCAATGACATTGGAAACGACAGTTTAAGATTACAATGTACGATTCATTACCTCACCATGTTATGCCTAAACTGTAAAGCAAAATAATATAAACAGAGTCCCTGGATGACTTTTACTTTGATCAAACTTTTATTTTGAAATGGTTGGTAAAGTTCCTCTCATATTTTTCTCATTTAAATGACTTTAAGCTCCAGATAACTCGGAATATCAAAAGTTGTAAAATATGTACGCTTTGATAACAGTGTCACCTATATCTCAACTTTAAAATATTCTGAGGATACAATTGTTTTGTGAATATTCAGCCTGACTCAGCAGCCTCGTGATATTATGCAGATGTTTCTCTTCATTGTTTCTTTCTCCGGCTGTAGACTTGTCTAATTTTAGAGATGACTTTCTTGTTCACACCGAGTTGCATTCGTTCTGCAGGGATTTGTATTCGACTCTCTATAGCAGGGAGTTGTACATGACAGGAGCTGCAACATAACAATTTCCGGACCGGTAGAATTGAAATGGGGAGGGAATAAAACGGGAAAGGAGGGGGGCATCGAGGTTACCCTGTCACTTCTACTTCGACAATAACTTGTAAAAATATACTTCTAACCTCTACCGTTTGGATAAGGTGACTTTAAGGTGTATGCTTATCATCATTACTTTCTGCTTAAATATCATCGCTTTTCAATAAAGATTGGAATGATTAATTTGTAGAGGCTAGAGGTTTGTTGCTTGGAACAGGATGATTAGGCTTAACTTTCAGGCCAGTATTGGGCAATTTTGAACGATGGAATCTGATCAATTATATACATGTATTACACCTAAATTTTAATACGAAGTGTTTAGCCTTGCTAATTTAAAATACTAAATATCAATTATAGATTATTTTTATTGCGGTTTGAATAAACATTTTTTTTTATTTTAAAGTTTCAATATGGACATCATTATTTGTCATCATATCAACTTCTTACGTAAATTCTAAATGATTAAAAAGTGTATCCCAAGTGTCCAAAGATACGCCCGTTTGCATTATAACCATTGACAGTTTCGTCGAATTTCAAAAAGGGGTGCGTTACTGCACCCTTCACGTCTATAAACCTACCCTCTTATGGATCTTCCCTTCTCACAATCACGGTAATCACAGTAATATCTATATAGAATATGGAAGGGGTATAATATATCCATGTGCACTTTATGTACCTCAAAATGAGCGTTGCATGGTTCCATGTGCGGAAACCCGGATCATTGCCTATTAGTGTGAGGTAAATATAGATTAAATTAAATCCAGTAAGGTTTGAACTGGGCATGACAGACGGCGGCGGAAAGGGAAGGGGTAGGAGTGTAATTGGTATGTAACAAGAGAGCACAGGTATTCCCCTAACATAATTAATTGCATGATCGCAAAGACTTTCGAGAAATCTTCACAAGAGCAATTTTAACACCCTCTTGAAAATGACATACTCTCTCTCTCTCTTTCCCCTCTCTCTCTCTCTCTCTCTCTCTCTCTTTCCCCCTCTATCTCTCTCTCTCTCTCTCTTACTCTTTCTCTCTCTCTGCCCCCTCTCACATTTGACTCTTATTTCTTAGTACTTGTTTTGGGGGGCATGAAGCAGGGAGCGCTCTCTGATCCACCTGCCTGCATAAAATGAGTGACTCACATCTTGTTGGATACCGTCACAATTTGTTTAATTGCAACTATTTATTACTAAATTATGTTTCGTAATCTAATAGTCATTTCCGGAGTTACATGGATGAAAAAACGTCCCAGGACAATACTTGAACTTGTAGAGTGCCCCAATTCATGCAGAAGTTCCTACAATCCAAAGAAAGTTATCTTTCTTACTAATTGTTGGCAGAAAAGCTTCATTCTTCACCTCAGTCTAGAATGATCCCCAATTTTGTTTTAATAGATCTCCCCCTCTATTTACATCTCTCTCTTTTGCTGTCTTTTCTGCCTTTATCTATAATATGATACATACTATTTTCTTGCTCTCTTATAATGAATAAATAACATAAATGAATGAATGAATAAATGGATAAATAAATAAGTAAATAAATAAATAAATATATTATATTCCGATTCATTCAGATTAATGACTAAATATATTGATTCTTAATCAAGTGAATACAAACAACAACAAAAATCAATAAATATACAAATATTAATAAATAAATAAACAAATAAATTAATAAGTAAACAAACAAAAATATAAATAGCAAGAAATCATGTTCAACTTACCAACAATTAGAGATGTGAAGACAATGCATATCACCCATTTTTTATCGATCGTCATCTTGACTATCTGGTTCTGTTCTCTTTTTATTCCTCCAAAAAAAATGTGTGACACTGATAATAATACTGATGAACTAGTGATGGGGGAGCTTGCTACAGGCCCAGTTATATAGTGCTGAAAGTTTCGTTAGACAGTGAGCGACTCTCATGAAGCTCTGCGATCAGATGCGTTCGACGTTTAGATTCAAACCAGTGATATGAAGAGTCTTAAAAACCTCACCGAATGTTGCGGAACCCCTCCTGGTGTGACACGATAATTATGGCATTCAATGGTTTAAAAGAATCCGTGGGCGACGACTTGCAGTGAATAGAAGATAAATGCTGTTTTTCATGCGTGTCCTGAGCCCCCCTGGTCATTTAACTCATCGCATGCGATAAAAGTCTGCTCTTGTTAAACACACCGTGTGCAAATGACGTCAGCAAAACGTCATAATTGCCTGAAGTTCCTGTCCCGAGTTGAGTTATAGCAATCGGGGGTAAGAGCATATCTAGAGGCAAGAAACAATCGTTTTGACATTTCCAAAACTTTAAGCTATTCCTAAAGTTCACACAGAGTATTACTAATGACAAACTGGACCTGAATGGGTAGTTGTTTTTCGGGTTGGGTTTGAGATAAATTATTGTAGGCCTAACGTCCGTTTCTGTTTAGGCTATGATAAGTGCTCATGACTCAGTCGGTTTACATGCTGGTCCGAGCGGGCTGTCACCGCAAGATCAGTTGAGCTAATCAGACGATTAATAAAGTTACCCTCATGCCCTTTTCCCTTGCATGATTTTTTTTTTCTGATTCTATATCATTCGTTTTTGCATTTGAGCTTCTAAAACTCCGTAATCGAAAAAAGCTGATTTCATGACTATTTTTTACTCTCTGGAATATCATTTGTTCGGCAAATCAACATATAATATTCAATAAATGTAAACCATGGCATAAGATTATGGGAAAAGAAAATGTTGCTATACGGTAGGCACACTAACTTGAAGTATTAACGAATCGATTCAACCTGATCGAGTGCCCCAAAATGCAAATACTGAAATTCTTAAGGAAGTAAGTGAAAAGCGATGATCAATATAAAGTAGAACATAATTGTGTTATAATTACAACAATAATAGTATATAATATAATTGATTAACATAAAGAGTGACAAATTAAATACACACAAATAAAAAATGCATAATTGAAAGCTTGAAAGTATGGACAAGTAAAAAATAATCAAGATAAATACAGAGGCCAACTATCATAAGCAAGAATGCTTGAGTCGATAGCAGCCATATCATGATTACTCTGTAATAAGTCACTTCATAATGCAAGAACTGTATGAAAATATAACTATAAAGTTGTTAGAGTAGTAATTTAGCTATGAACTACATAAGTAAACTAGAATAAAGGGATAAAGGTTACAATTTCGTCTGAATTAACAAAAGGCATGATGTCGCAAGGGTCAGTTATTCTGTAATACGAAACAATAGTGTCCTTTAAGGACTTTCTTCACAGGAGGAAGGGGCTACGTCAATTATCAGGAAATGCGTTTATTGGAGGCAAGGACCCTGTGCACCGTTGAGGCCAATGCACAATACCTAAATACGTTCTATCTATTTAAAGAGCAAATTAGTGCTGACTGTAATAATTGTCAGGAAAATACAAGGATTTAAAGGTACAGAGTGATTGATTAAACAAAAAGTGAGAAAATAGAAAAAGGATGTTTTCGACCGACTTCAAATTGTCCTGTAATAACACAGGCCAGAGAACTAGCATTAAACAAATTATTGTTGAAAAGAAAACTGAGGAAAACTTTTTCTTTGTCGAAGTGTTTCCTTTGAAATGATCGAAGGTTCACGAAACCAAATGTTCACGAGACCAGAAGACTACAGAACCTAGATATTTTCAAGAGACCGAGGGGAACATGTCTTCGAGATGGAAATAAGATGTCCACAAGACCGAATTTTCAAGAGACCGAATATTCCCAAATCGAGCAAGACCAAAATATGTCCACAACACGACGTCCATGAGACCAATGTCCACAAGACTGACGTTTTCCAAGAAAAACTTTCGTCAGAAAGAGGCTCATCGAAGGTCGTCGCGAGACTAGTGGTCTACGATACGTAATGTCCCTCGGACCGAATGTCTAATGCCTGTATTACATTTGCCCCGGGTGCCGTAAGACAACTTAGTCAACGATTTTTCGTCGATTTTGGGGGCATCGTAGGAGGCTACGGGCTACGATGTTTGTGTTTACATGATCTACGAGCATCGTGCCATTTCTTGTAATGGCTCTCGGGGGCAGGCCGGGGCAAATCCATACAGAGGCTGCTCGGAGATTGTACGGATATCGTGCAATTTCAATGCAGTATCCGAGTTGTCTCCGCAGCCTCCGCACATAAATCGTACGGAGCCCGTGCAGCTTCCGTGCAAAGGTTGCGCGGACAAGGCGCGGTGACCTTGCAACCACCGTGCCGTTTTTAAGCGATTTTTTGCTTCCATATTCACCGAAAATAGTGCGTTTGCTGCACGATCAGCGCAAGTCCTCCGCGCGATGCCCGTGCGGGGATTGTGCAATAAAACCTACGACATGTCTACGGACTACGGGCTTACGATTTTTCAAATTTGTATAACTTTCTGCGAAACAAAATCGTAGAGGCCGCAGAGCCCCGCGGAGCCCGTGAATCCGTACGAAAATCTCGCGGTCGCCTTCTGCCTCCGTACGGAGACCGCACGGAAAAGGGGATACGGGCAGGATACGGGCACCGTAGACTAATATCCAAATGTAATCCAGGCATAAGTGCCAAATGAGACTGAAAGTCGTAGGTATCGTGAACTCTGTTGTGCACCTGGTCATTGTTTCACGAAACCGTCACAGAAATACCGACATCACATGAAAATACCTGTTTAAATTTAAGGAACGCATTTCAATGGGTTGTCGGTGAAGTTGTGCTTTGGGCGGTCTCGCGAAGCGCTGCCCTGCATGGTCTCATGGGCATGGTGAACAACTCACAAGAAGTATAAACACCAATTTAGTTCCAATATTTCAAAATTTTCATTTTATTTTGAAGGAGGTGAAAAAACCTCACCAGAATCCAATAGGGGGAAAAGAGGCAAAGAAATAAAAGAGGAAAAAATGGAAGAAGAAGAATAAGAACAACAAATCAACAAAAAACAAAAAAAAAACAAAAAAAACAGAGGGATATGGACAGGTCCGCCTGTTTACTTCAATTTTTGCTTACTCATATTTCTTTCTCGATTTGTTTTGTAATGCTTTGTTCTGAAATCAAAATACCCGCCATTCATGTGAAAATTACGTTAAAAAACCCAATTGATGGGGAGAGAGGAAGGGAGGGGGGGGGGGGGGGGCGGGGCGGAAAATTTTAAAAAGTAGGCCAACCATGACGACCCAATGTTTAAGCTTTACAGTGCTTTAGAATGCAATATTTCACTATTCAAAAATGGAATTTTTGGGTCGCTTCAGTCGCTACGCTCTCTCGCATTATTATTAGGCTTTAAACTGTTAAAACGAATGTATTTGTACATATACCCCTCGCCCTGGTATGCATGGGTCGGCGGAGCGACTCATAAAGTTGGAGGGGGGCACCAACAAAAAGGGCACTTTCTTGAAAAATGTGTTCAAAGGGAAATCTCAAAGCGAAAATAAACAATTTTTTAGACATTGGTATAATATATACCCCTACATTTTTGATAACATTTTCAGTGATGATTTCAATATTTTTTCTCGTTATACATCATACAAGATATTTCCTATGCATCATACTTGGAAGTTGGGTGTGATGGTATTAAAATTCATTTGCGAGCGAGCGAAGTAAGCGAGGAAAATGTTTTTGATTTGTGAGGTCGCAGTGCAAAAAATTAGAGGAAAAATGCCTATTCATATATGCAAGGCTTTATAGGACTATATATACATTGTATATGTATTTCTAAACGTGAAAAAGTAAAACGGAATGTTTGTATCAATTTAAGTCAGAAAGAGAAGGGGGCTTGGTATGGTTGATTTGATTTTGAAAACTAATTCTCTTAGATTGTCTTGGATATATAAGTTTTTTTTTAATGCAGATGATGCAATGTGGAAGACATTATTTTCACTTTGGACTGAGTTGGCGGGATGCCGTTATGTATACAATATAAATGTCATATTAAACACATGAAAATGATATGTAACAAAAGAAATTTACCAATGTTTTATATAGATTTGCTTTGCACATGGTCAAAATTCGATATGTAAATAAATTTGAAGTAAAAGATATTCCCAATGAAATACTTTGGATTAATAGTAACATTGTAATTGATAATAAACCTCTGTATTTCCCGTCGTGGATAAAAGAAGGAATTTTTCAAATCAAACATGTTGTAAATCAAGATACATAGATAGATAACTCTCTATTCAATAACCATTTTGATGTACAGAATCTGTTGTTTTTATTCAAAATGTCAAAATTAAAAAAAGGATTCCCAAAATATTGGTCACCAAATTTACGTTTAAACAAAGCTTCAAGTCTCAATGAAACAATGTACATTGAGACAACTTTAGATGTTATAAACGTTGAATGTACTAATACGAAAAGTTACTATAATTTAATGCTAGAAAAGAAAAAAGAGAAAGTTGGTTTTCATTTCTGGCAAAATATTTTAGGCCTACCAGAAACATTTGATTGGAAAGATGTATTTCAGTTCAAATTTACTAAGATAAGAGACAATAATATCAAACAATATAATTTCACATTAATTCATAGGATATTGCCCTTTAAAGACAATCTCTTTACATGGAAAATCGTACAGTCTAACGAATGTGAAATTAGTCGTAAAAAAGAAACTGTTGCACATTTTATATTTCGTTGCAAGAAATTAAGAGTTTTCTGGAAAATTATCGCAAGAATAATATATTTCATCTTTAAAATAGAATTTGAAATTGATATGAAAATGTTATTGATTGGATATAAAATAGATAACGGAAAATTTACTTTTCTTAATTTTTTGATAAATTATGCTCAACTAGTAATATGCAAGGATTACGTGAAACGGAAGTACCAACCAATCCAAAGAGGTTAATATATTATTTTATTTCATCATTGAAATGTTATTTGAAATACAAAAAAATATAAGATACTTCGATAATGAAGAAGTTAAGAAAGTTTTAGAAATGTTACAATGATCATTTTAAGAAATTGTGTTGATCTTGTATATAATTCATATGTTTCATTTTACTTGTTTGTAAATAGTCTATATGTATTTTGAAATTTCAGAAATAATAAAGTTCATCTGAAGAGGTAAAGAGAAAAAAAAAATTAAAAAAAAGAGGGAAAAAAAAAATCTAATCCTGATGGGGTTTTAAGCACATTATCATAACGTAAGACTGAAAATGCCTTTGATAAGCAACATAGGCTAATTATATTATCTATATGATGCGAGCGAGCTTTGGAGAAAATTTAATGATGATGGGAAAACGGGACACTTATCGAAAGGGATAAGACATTTAGAAAGTTTTAGAAAGGGTTATTATCAAAGATGAAAATGGGGCACTTCTTACACCTAAAAAAGAGGCGTAAAAGGGGCATCCATCAGATTTTGATAGGGGCATTTATATATAAGAATGAAAAGTTGGAACTTGTAATAAAGAAAAATGTGCATTTGTTGAAAGAAAATAAACGGGGTGGTAATTACGAGAGCGGAAGAGGTACTTGATAGAATGGGAAACTGACACTTATTACACTTGTCGAAGTAAAAGGGGCACGCGTAAAAATAAAAGGGGCATTTTTCAGAGGTAAAAAGGGGAAGGGGCACTTTTCCTATGTGAACAGGGGCACTTTTGGGGTAGGCCTACTTGAAAAATGGTGGGGGCACTGTGACCCCCTTCACCCCCGGGAGCGCCGCCTTTGCTGATATGCCAGTGTTAAAATAACAATTTTATGTTACAAAAACTCTTAATCTATATCGTAAAATTTGAAAGAGATTGACATTTCAGCTACATGTACTAGTACACGGTTTTGAAAATAAGGGGCGCTCTCACGAGTATGTATTGTGTCAACGTTGAACAATAATAAGAAGTCGTTTTTCCCCCAATATTTTGTTAATGGGGTTTATGCATGGAAGTGAGAAGCATATTAGAGGAGTTACTTTTCGATTCTATTGACCAGGGGCGTAGACAACGGGGGGGGGGGGGGGATGAGGGGGATGCATCCCCCCACCTCACAAGGTGGGGGGGGGGGTGGCATGTACAATCATCCCCCCAGGTTTTGGGGAATGATATTTGCTTACTTAATAAGTCATAATGATGATAATAATAGTAATAATAATAATGATATCAATTATAATATTAATAATAATAATAATTATGATGATGATAATAATAATCCTCATCATTATTGTAATTGTGTTTATTGTTATTAGCCGCATTCACACGGTAAAAGCCAATTCAGACGGTAAAAAAAAGAAAATCTTACAAGTATTTTGTGGTTATCTTGTGGTTTGGAAACCAACAAAAAAACCACGAGTTTTGCGTGTTCAAATGGAGCAAACCACAAGATAACCACAAGATACCTCTAAGATTGCAAACCACAAGATAACCACAAGATAACCACAAGATTGGCTTTTAACGTGTGAAAGAAGCTATTGAAAATCATAATAAGAAGAAGTTGAAAACATCAAAGATCACTTCTTTTTTCAAGCACAATGAGAAAGAAGAACATGATGACGAACAGCCGTCTACATCAAAATCGGATGATGTCGGAGATAGGCCTGTTCTTCCTGAAGTTCAACCAGAAGAAAGTGCCGTTGAGGGTGATGGAGCATCTGAGGCGAAAGATGATGATGAAGCTGATGCCGGTTTTGACGACTGGGTTAGCCCCAATCACCCTCTACTTCTTCCATTCCCGTAGTAGAAACTAAAGCGCAGAAAATTCTGTTTCAAGCCAAATGGTACCAAAGCTACCCCTGGATCCATTACGAACCCTCCCTGAAACGGGTACTGTGTTTCTACTGTGCACATGCAGAAAAAAAACGCGGACTCTTGAAATTGGCCAAGAACAAAGAACCAGCATTTGTTTCAGTCGGCTTTTGTAACTGGAAAAAGGCATCACCCAGATTTGAGAGCCACCATGCAGGCTTCAAATTGTCACAGAGTCGCAAAGGCAGCGATTTCCTTGAAACCTGAGGCTAAAATCAATGTCAAAATGGACGCCAACCGCCGTCAACAGCAGGAAACAGCTCAACGAGCACTGATGAAGGTCTTCAAGAGCTTGCGATTCCTTCTGCGACAGGGTCTGTCATTTAGAGGCCACACAGCTGAGGAGGGAAACTTCCAACAGTTGCTGAACGTCTTCCGCGATGATGATGAAGGACTTGACAGATATCTCAAGCGGTCAATCAGCTTCACATCTCCACAGGCCCAAGAAGAGATGATCCAGCTGTTCGGTGCAGACATAGTAAGAACACTTGCGGCACAGATTGCGAAAGATGGACCGTTCGGAATAATGGTTGATGGGACATCACTGGAGTCGAACAACTAAGCTATCTGCTTCCGCCACGTTGATGACAATTTGGATGTACATGAAGAGTTTGTGGGACTGTATGAGCTGCCGTCCACATCTGAGGAAATGATCTCGAAAATGATTTTCGATGTAATCACCCGCCTGTCACTGTCGACTGACAATTTGAGAGCCCAAACATATGATGGCGCAGCCAACATGCTGGGCCAGTACAAAGGATGCCAAGCCAAAGTGAAGGAGCGCCAACCCCTCGCACTGAACTTTTACTGTGCATCACACGTTGCTAATCTCATTATGCAGCATGCAGTCTCCGATTGCCCCGCAGTTCGAGATGCCATCCAATGGGTTCATGAGCTTGGTGTTCTCTTCAAGAGATCCGGGAAGTTTAAGGTGAGTACATACCTCATGGTACATGAATTCACAATTAATCTCATTCGTGCCTCATTCAGATTCATGAAGTTATGCTGAGTATAATGCAGGTACCTTATATTTTATATATTAGTTTATCACATATTATATGAAATATTAATTATTTTTTACGATAAAACATAATAAAATATTACACCGTTCGTCTTAACCTATACAGGGCATCTTCCAGGACATTGCACAAGACAGCCTCTCCGATGATCAGCCGGTAAAGCCCTCTACCATTCGCCCCCTTTGTCCGACCCGATGGCTCTGTAGGTCGCCTGCCATTCTCTCCGTCAAAGACAACTACGAGCCTGTTCTGAAAAGCCTAAGGGAAATGGCGTCATCAGGCACCTCGGAATCAGCGGTGAAGGCGAACGGTCTTCTTGATCGCTTTGAGAAAGGAGCGACGTACCTGAGCCTAGATGGTGACCAAGCCAATCGTTGCCCTTGAACAGCTGAATCGGTCCTGTGAATCCCGCTCCGCTATCGTTTCAGGTACGCTATTTCAAAAAGACTCTTTAATTTTGTAACTTAGTCTTCAAAACTAAATATTGTAAATGTATTCTCTTGGTTAGATTAAACCTCAGTATGCATATTTCATTGTGTGTTAACAAAAAAAATCATAAGCCATGTAATGTTCTTTTGACACACACAGGTATGCTGGAAGCAGTCAAAGTGACAAGGAGTCAGATGATGGCATGGAGAACAGATGAGGAATTCCACGATCTGTTCGAGAAAGCAGTGTCAAAAGCGGATGAGCTGGACCTGGATCCAAGTATTCCAAGGAAAAGAAATCCACCCAGACGCCTCACAGGAACCGTCGCGCCATTCCACCCAACCAGCCCGGAACAACACTTCAGGCAGCAATACTTGGCATTCGTTGACGCCATTATTGTACAAATGGACGACAGGTACGACTCGTCACAGTGCAACCTCGCTGCCTACAAGGTTCTTGGAGATATGCTGATCTCAGGCAAGGCTCAGGCAAGGTTCTAGACGAGAAGGCCATCAAGCAATATCCGGAACTACAAAAGGATGTGCTAGCAGTACAACTGGCTATGTACCGACAAACGACGGAGGCGAAGAGTGTGCAGGAGGCGAGAGAGGCGTACAAAGCCATGACACCAGAAGTCCGCAACCTCTTCCCCCAAGTAGCTACCCTCATGAAGTTGCTTCTCGTGTGTCCAGTAACCTCAAGCGAATGCGAGCGTAGTTTTTCCGCTCTAAGGAGACTCAAGACGTGGCTGAGAAGCACCATGACTCAGAAGAGGCTCAATGCAGTAGCTGTCTGTAACAGCCACCACCTCCTGCTTGACAACATATCCCTACAGCGTCTTGTCAAGGAGTTTGCGGGCAGGAACGAAAAGAGGCGCAAGATATTTGGTTTCTAAGACACAAATTTGCAAGACTACAAAAGTAAAACTGACTAAGAGACCGATATGTTTGTTTGTTGAGCCATGAATGCTCCTTATTAACTTACTTATAAGTAAGTTTACCAACTTACCGCATGTCTCTATTATCTGATTAGCAACTGTTAATCAAGCTGTTTTGTTACTTTTGGTATGGGAATGAAGCAACAACTTTTTTCTTTTCATCGAGACTACTTTTCAGGCACGAACCTAGTACTAGCAATACCTTCTCATATATGATATGTATTATATTTATTTATTTATTTATTAGTTTATATCAGATTATATTACAGGTATATGATATTTATACATATATATATACATTATATGCATTTATTTATTTATTTATTTATATATTTATATACACGTTATTTTCTCAAGTCGGTTTTTATTGAAATACATGTGTGGTCTGGCCCACTCGTGTTATAGGCATTATAAATTGTGTGCAAAATGCATCAGCGCAATCTAAAACAGAATAGAAAATGAATGTGATACAACAGTATACATAATAATTCGTGATAGAGAGTACCATACTACTATCTTTATAACAAGTATTATTCAAACAAACATATATAATTATGTATAATCATGAATTATTCAACTTCATGCTCCCACTATATGACTATTGTTACACTAATACTGATATCAGGACTGACTGGTATACATTAGTTTGTTGTTAAGCTTGCAGCAGCTACATCTTTTCTGTATTGTTAACTATTTATTTATTTTTGTTTTATTTAAGATGCACTTTGTTTTGTATTCATTTAAAGTATGTTGATTGATGCATGAAGACATAAGTTTGAAATGTTTAAAGAAGTTTGTTTCATGTAAAGCGCAGTGTAAATTTACCCTGTCTTGAAATGCGAGATAAAAGGAACCTATTAGTATTAGCATTATTATTTGTATTAGTATTATTTTTTATTTGTATTATTATTATTATTATTATTATCATTATTATTATTATTATTATTATTATTATTATTATTATTATTATTATTATTATTATTATTATTACTATTACTATTACTATTATAAGACTGAGATCAAATAGAAGTAAATAATGCCCTAATTTGAAACGATGCAATGCCGTTATGGTTCCGATTTCTTCACAAACTTACAAAGCAGTATTGTTACTCCATGGATCATAGTGATACTGTTTATGTTTTTTGTATCTGTATGTTAATGAGCCGCCAGCCAATATCCATCTATGGATACTATGCCTGTTTCTTTGAGGTAAAAAAAAAAGCATAGTATGTACGTATTTATTATGCTTTATAATGAACAGACATATTGTTCAAAGTTTAATCGTTATTTGTTTGTTGTTTATGTGTTCTATTCACAAATGGCCACAGAGGCTGTTTTCATTCATAACCACATACCCCTATCAAGACAACAAAGACTATACCTGCGTGTACACAGTTGACATTGGTTTTTTTTTCTGAAGACGTGTAACAGCAAAATTCACAGAGATAAATAAATACGTAGTGTGGTTCAATATGCAATACTATGTGTCAGTCCATTCTGTATTCGTATGCCACGGTGTGTAGATCTTGTCGATGTATGTCTGTCCATTCAAGGCGTAGTATGTGTGTGTGTGTGTGTGTGCCTGTGTGCGTGTGTGTGTGCGTGCGTGTGCGTGCGTGAGTGTGTGTGTGTGTGTGCGTGCACGCTTGTGCTCTTGCTCTCGGATGTTTACGTACACCGAAGAGCAGATTTTGGTTGTTTTGTGTGGGGGTGTTGTGTGTGTAGTGAATATGCTTGTGTGTATGAATGCGTTGGGTTGTGTGGTACGGGGTGGATTCTGCTTGCATTTTTTATATTATTCGACGATAAGTATGCATATATGTTTGGCTGCAGATAGTTTTTTCTATACATTTGCTCACGGTGGAAATAGATTGTGTGGAAGTTTCTTTGGAGTTTATCGATGTAAGGTTTTGGATACAATTACACATAAAATAACATGGCAGTGAAATTATCTTTCATGACATTAAATGTTAGAGGAATAAGAGATAGGTTAAAAAGAGTGAATATTTTTGAATGGTGCAAAACTAAAAAGAATAGTATAATTTTCTTACAAGAAACATAATAGTACAGTAGAGATAGAAGAGCGGTGGAAACAAGATTGGGGAGGGCCAATGTTTTTTAGTCATGGGTCAAACCATAGTAGAGGGGTTCTTATTTTATTTTCTAATCATTTAGATTTTGAAGAAAAAAAAATTAAAGTAGATGAAGAGGGGAGATACATTATTTTTAAAGGTGAAATACAAAGGGTTAAAATGCTATTGGTTAATGTTTATTTTCCAACGAGAGATAAAGAAACTTTACAAATTGAATTTTTGAAGAAGTTAGATGAAAGTATTTTTGATCAGTGTGATCGGGACTATTTAGTTTTATTAGGAGGTGATTTCAATAGTATATTGGATGGAAAATTAGATTATGTGGGGTCAAAAACACCGTTGAAATCTCGGGTTATTGATTTGATTAAGGAATTTTTAAATAAATACGATTTAGAAGATATATGGAGGAAAAAAAATCCGAATGTAAAGCAATTTACTTTTCGACAAAATTGGCCGGTGGTGCAAAGCCGTTTAGATTATTGGTTTATACCTTGTAGTGTTGAAAAATTGGTGGGTACGTGTGAGATTTTGACATCTATTACGCCAGATCATTCTGGCGTTAGGCTAGAATTTAATGATCTTGTTGATAAGTTTGTTTTTGGGAAATCATATTGGAAATTTAACAGTAGTTTATCTATGGATAAAGATTTTGTTGAAGAGATGAATAAGGAAATACAGGAATTAAAAGCTGAATGGTCATTACAGATTTTGAATAAATTAGTATTTTGGGATTTTTTAAAGATGAAAATGAGAGAATTTATTATAACATACTCGCGGAAAAAGGCAAAAGCAAGGAGGGTTGAAATAGAACTGTTAGAGAAACAAATCAAGGATTTAGAAGGCGAACTGGTAGTGGGACCCACTAAATATATTGTTGATTGTATTGAGGAGAAAAGGGATAAACTAAATAAATTGTATGATTTTTCTCGACAGGGCATTAAAATAAGATCAAGAGCACCTTGGTTTGAAGATGGAGAAAACAATACGCAATATTTTGAACAGTTGTTAAAATCGAATAAAAGGAAAAGTGTAATTAGGGAGGTGTACAAAGAAAATGGGGAAACTACTAGAGATAAGGAGGAAATTTTAAAGGAAATTAAACTATTTTATAAAGATTTATATTCTTTAAGGGCTGATATAAATCAAAACGACCCTTTCTTTTTCAATGATATTTCAAAGTTAAATGAAGACAATAAGGAAATCTGTGAAGGTAAATTAACTAAAGATGAATGCTTGAAAGTTTTAAAAGAAATGAAATTGAATAAAACCCCGGGAAATGATGGGTTAACAGTTGAATTTTATTATACTTTTTGGCCAGCTTTGGGTGATTTGTTAGTAGAAGTATTGAATGAAACATACGAAAGGGGGGAATTAACGGCATCTCAAAAACAAGGGGTAATTACCTTAATTGAGAAGGAAGCGAAAGATACTCTCCATATAAAAAATTATCGACCCATCACGCTTTTGAATGTAGATTATAAAATTGTAGTTCTAGCAAAAAGAATGAAAGAGGTTTTAAATGAAATAATTCATCATGATCAAGTTGGATATATAAAAGATAGAAATATTGGGGAAGCTGTACGATTGATAGATGACATGTTATTTTATTCTATGCATTATGGGGAACAAGGGAAAGGGTTTTTGTGTGCAGTGGATTTTGAGAAAGCTTTCGACTCTGTATCTCATAGATATTTATTTCAAATATTGAAATTGTTCGGTTTTGGAGATTCATTTTGCTCTTGGGTAAAATTATTGTATAAAGGGATAAGTAGTTGTGTTATGAACGGTGGTCACTCCACGGGGTATTTTGAAATAGAAAGGGGAGTAAGGCAAGGGGATCCATTATCGCCATATTTGTTTTTGGTTGCCATCGAAATTTTGGCGCATGCAGTAAGGAGGGACAACGGTATTAAAGGGATTACATTTGGAAAATCTGAAATTAGGCAAGTGTTATATGCAGATGATATGACAATATTTTTGAAGGATATTGATTCGGTTAGAAGGTTGCAATATATTTTTGAATCATTTGAAAAAATTAGTGGTCTTAAAGTGAATAAAACAAAGACACATTTTATGTGGATGGGTGAGGATGAGAACAAACCTGATGGGCCTTTATTTGGAAATTTGGTTAAGGAAATACATATTTTAGGGGTTAGTTATTCATTAGATCGAAGTTTAAAAGATGATTTGAATTATAAAGAAATTCTAAGTAAAATAAAAAAATTGCTTGTATGGTGGAAACAAAGAGATTTAACTATTATGGGTAAAATACATTTGCTAAAAACTTATGCGCTTTCAAAATTAAATTATATTTCATCTCTCGTTATTGTCCCTCATTGGGTATATAAAGAAGTTGCAAAAATTTCATTTGAATTCATATGGAGGGGGAAAGATAGAATTAAACGGGCAATAATGTATCAGGATTATGACTTTGGAGGATTAAGAATGATTAATTTTGAAATGTCCGTTAAAATACAGCGCATAATGTGGATAAAACGTCTTTTATATGGAGAGAAAAGTTTGGGATGGAAATTGTTTTTTGATCATTGCTTACAGTTTGTGGGTGGTAGATTTATTTTTTTATGTGATTATGATTTAAACAAGATTAAACTCGTTTTAGATATTCCACCATACTATATGGAAATGTTGCAAGCATGGCAAGAGACAAGTAATTTAAGATATTTGGAGGGTTATATTAATCCAATTATTTTTAATAATCAGAATATATGTATAAATGGAAAAAGTATATTTGATAGATACTTGTTTGAAAGAGGGATTGTTCAACTGAATCATTTGGTTGAGAAAGGTCATGTTAAGCCTGTTAAATATTTTATGAACCTCGGTATGAAAGGTAATAATTTGCTT